GGGAGCTGAATTAGCTTTCTTACCTTGTGTCCCCAGTATCCTTTTTGAATGCAAACCCTAAAATGGCTATCTTCTTATCAGTGACAGTATTGAACAAGCTGTCAATAATGCGGGAAGCAAATCTTCTTCTCTGGTAATCATTCATGTCTATTACCTGAAATTATGTAAAACAGGGTGGTACAGACAGGAGCCGTTTAAAATTATAAGCAGATTCTATTAACACTCAAGCTAGCCTACCCAGATACAAGTCTAATAGAGGCTTAAGAGAAAGCTGCTATTGTCACTCAGCATCATAAGTAATCCAAATTCAGTTAATTTATCAAATTCTGAGACAAATCCTGTTTTAATCAATGGCCGTAGACAGATATACACATTATCATACCCTGTGTAGTTCAAAGGCTAGGGTTTTTTCAGATTGCCTTTTTTTTTTTTTAAAAAAGCTACAACTGACTGTATTCTAGGCAGGAATATGGAAAGCAATTTCAGTGCTGGAGAACTTGGTGTCACATGAACACCCCATTGCCAGACCTACACTTCCTTACCTGCTGTATGCAACAGCCGTGAGACCATTTTTAGCCTTTTTAATCCACACTAACAGCTTTCAACACACAAAACTAGTGTGGTTAAACCAGATATTGAAGTGCCTCACTTTTGGTATTACAAGAAAGTGGGTTCTCACTGATTGTTCCTGTACTCTCCTCCAGCCTGCTTCATACTTTGATCTCCAGGCCTTAACACAGAGGGCACTGGATCACTACTAGAACAGGAGGAGTTGGTTCCTCCACCTAGTCAGTGTTGAACATGGAGTGGAAAGAAACACTTCCCTCTGGGTTTTGAGACTTTCAGCCCAAATCAAGAATTAAAAGCAGCAGCCTACGGAACAACCTATACAGCAGAAGGATATTGGTGAATCAGATTTCAGGAAAATAAAAGCAAGCAGTGAGATTTATGCAATTCAACAGAGTGGTGATGGAGAAAAAAAGGTAACAGTTGACAGGGCAAGAGGGACACATTTCTCTCTAAGTATGTTTTCAAGGAATTAAGATTTCAGTATTAGAAAGCCCTGTCCTCTGTGAAGGCCAAAGAGAATAAAAGTGAAGATTCTGGGGCTGCTCTGATCAGCATATCCTGCAGAATTTGCACCCTGCCCTCAGACTGGTCTGAGGTCTCCCACGTGCATGCACTGGGCTGAGCTGCTGACAGTGCAGTGCTCAGGCCACAGAGAAGGGGTTCACACAGTTGCTTATACAGGGCACACATGTGCATCACATGACCTGACCAGTGTGGGCCGGAGCAGAGAGACCTCTGCAAGGTGACAGTGCTGAGGAAACAGTAGTTGCAGGTAAGGGGTTGCACCTACATGAGCGTAGCAACTTACCTGATCCCAACTCTGCAGCAGCTGTTCTTACTATGTGATTTCTCCAGAGCTTAATAAGCCATACAGAAAGACCACAAAGAACTGCTCTTAAAACAGAGTAAGAGCATAAAAAGCATTAAGAGCACTTTAAGCTATTTGTTTACATTAACAATACAACCCTTTAGGCTTTTTTTAAGTTGAAAAAAAAACACCTCCACAGAGTAAGCTGTAAAGAGCTCCTGTGTCTTTGGGTTACCAAGATACCAGGTAGGGTGCATTTTGAGAAGGACCCTTGTGATCTCAAAGGACAGAGACAAATCAATTTGTCTTTCAAGACACTATTTTTCCCTATTCAGACTGTCAGTGAGGTAACATGGTTAGTTCCTGCTGCTCCAGGGATTGTCTGCTTACATTTTACACAGAGCAAAAGCAGTTGTTCTTGAAGCACATATCAGAACCTAGGGCTCCTTCTCTTTCCTTTTCTTGGTCAATGTGTCCAAGTCCTGTACTGAACCAAGCCCCTTCTAGATGCTTGCACAAGGTTTGTGCAGTACCTCAGTCTTCTACACTGATAGGACTGCAAGCATCTCCACCATGGATTAGACTATCCTAATGAAGTATATTTTAAGGAAGATGTAAATCTGAACCTCATCAGAGGCAGACAAACTTCATGTCCTCCTTGTCTCAAGCAATTAATATAAATAAGTTACAGCTGCAAACAAGTAACTAGGCTACTGATGACCCCCTGGCCAGAGTTTAAACTATCTGTACAGGATGTAGAAAGCCACTTTACATCACAGATAACATAAGAAGCTGACTGAAGTCACAGGTAGTACTGTGAGAGATGGCTGAGTTTTACAGGCAGCTAGGAAGGAAATTATGCGTGAGATCTAGCCAAGTTCCCAACAGCTGGAAGGAAGTATTAGGGACCTTTGGGGAAATAGACCCTTGAAGTAACCCCATCAACAGCCTCACGTGGCCATGATGACCTTGGAAATGGTATAAGAAATATTTGACTTCATTATAGATGTGGCTCAGCTGACCAGTGATGAAAAAAATTATGGGCAGGTTATTTGGCAGCAGACTGGGATGGAAAAATGCAAGGGGAAAAGAGGGTAGACAAAGGGAAGATTAAAGAAAGGGAAGCTGTTAATAATATAGTCAAATCATGTGCTTCATATTCTGGGGTCATCTGCTGAGCAGTCTTCTACTTGATCATCACAGCCTAATTCAGGACAATAAACCAAAACTGTTCTTTTGACCACACCACATATGTGGAAGATGCTTCCTCAGCCAGGACTGGGAAGAGGGGCCAGGTATTTTCCATGGTTAATAGAGAAATACTTGCTGGTACAGACTGAGCATCCTGATACTGCTGCACTGGTGCTAGGTCTGAGAGCACCCACATCTCTCCAGCCTCTCCTAAGATTAATCAGGGGACAGCAGCAAACATGTTTATCTAAAAGAACAAGTTCTGCTGAGTTCGTTCAGAAAAGGAACTGTAAAAGTAAGCCCTGAGGAAAAGATCATAAGCTCTGAATTCAAAGTGGACAGAGATAACCAAGTGGAAGAGGGAGACCAGAGTCTAGACATGCTTGTACTTCACATATTTACTGCTATTTCTAGACAACTTGCCAATCCATTTGATCCAGACAACTTAATTCACCCAAAAAAAGCCTAAGCACCCACGAGTATCAAATGCCAGCGTTAGGCTGAGGGCCTTAACATGTAAAGATGATCAACATTAAGGTATCTGCTTCTTAAAGCTGAAACAGATTATGTGGACAATGCTTAAGAGTTCAGTGCCTGAAAACTGAATCCTAAAGAAACACACCCCCTCAAAAAAACATTGGTGAAGAACTTGTACCTGTTGCCAGTAGCGGGCTACTTCAGGTAAGTTCAGTGCCTCACAGAGGTACACTAAATTCAAGACATCCTTCTGAAAACAGCTACCACCAAACCCTGAAAGAGAAAATTGTTATTTTACTGGTGATTAAGGTACTATTCTAACCCAATCTTTCAAATCAAGTAGGTTGAGCAATCACTGACATAATCAACATCATAATTTTCCCCAGCATTACACTGCTAGCAAATGAAAACCTTAAGAATCTCTCAAAATTCAGCTTCTACACTGGTGCCTTAAAATCTGCTTCAGGTCTCATTGAAGTCAATGGAAGTTTTAACCCAGTCTCAGGGAAACATGTTATGATAGCCCCCAGGTTTTTTTTATTATTACAGTCAGGGGGACAAGCTCCTGGGTTTCCTCTCCCTCTCCTAGAGATTCAGATTAATATTTCTCAGAACACTTATGTGCTCTTTTCAAGATTAGATTCTTTCCTCCCACATCTCCAAATGGCTATCTAATCACTGCCAAGAACCAAAGATCACCACAGCTGACTAAGGGAGAACTGAGACAATTAATAGAGGGATCCTTGACCCCCAGAACTTTGCTCAGTCTCAGAAACAACACATGGGAGAAGGAATGATAATAATCTAATAGGAATTTGGTAATATATTTACTATGTCCTTTTCACTCTTGTGAATCAACTCTAGGAGAGGTTGTATTTAATAAAGCCATTTTAAAGCCACTCCTCCTCTTTCTACAATGAAGACTGCAGCCACACAGAAGCTTCAGTCTTGTTCCATCAGTTTGAAAGCTTAGTGTACTCATCACCACTTTACTACATCTTACTCCCTTGTAAATCTAAACGACTGAACTCATCCTACAGATTAGATGTTGCCATCACATTCTGACCTAGAGGCATCCCTCTCCTCAGGTGACTGGTAACAACTCCCAAAACTGCAGCAGTTAGTTGCTAAGACATCTTGCAGAACACTATCACCAGTGATGCTTCAGGAAAGCAACACTGCAGCTTTTCTTCCCAGTGTCCCATGCAGGACAAACCATGTACTCTGAACTCTTAGGTTTCAGATTGCCAGGGTCTAGAACAACCTCAGTCCTAGACATTTGACCAGAAAAAAAATTGATTCATGCTAGTACTCTACAGCAATGTTTTCACACATGCTGTAGATCTTAGAGCATCAGATCACTTCAAAACACTACTGGTAGGCCTATTGCACTACTAAAGCCCAAAAGAGGAAAAAAAAAAAAAGGATTTTTCACTGACCAACACTAGCTTTGAGGAACTTATTTCCAATTCTTTGGTCTGTTCCAATGGCTCTTGCTACTTCTTCAACATCTGCTCCTGTAGCTTCACACAGAGCACTGATTGAGTTAATGCTGCTGATTCTTTGGGCAAGGAAAGCATTAGCTGCCTGTAAATAGAAACAGAGTAAAGAGCTTGATTTTGCCAGAAACCAAGATGCCCACAGAGAACAGGAACTGGAAGGATTACTTTAGTATCTATGTCGCTCTGTTGAGATACAAAATGGTAACAAACTAGTTAATACGTAAGTGCCAGTCAATAGAACCTAAGCAAAAGAATGTGAAGCTTAACTTGCAGCCTTTGGGCTGTTTTATGATGGTAATCCATTTTGGCAGCACCGAAGATTTAGTAATAAATAGCACAGCAATAAAAGAAAAGATTTCTTGGAAAGTGATATCATCTATTATAATGCTCAGCTGAGGTAACTGGGAAAGATTAATATCCCTGGCCATACATATGGGGTCCTCCCAACCTCATCTGTAACTCCCAACTGCATCACTTGCTGTCAGTGAACTGCTTCTGAGCTTCATCCCGCTTATACCCTTTGCTCTTTGCAGAAAACAGCAGCAAGTAACACTAACCAGTTTAGAAAGTTCTGATGACCAGGTATTGGTTGTGAGGATTTTTTCTTTGGGCACCCAGTGCTCATAAACAGCACAGAGAGCACGGACGGCTTTCTGTCCCTCGGGAGAATCATCTCCACCAATAAGGACTCTGTCTGGGTTCTTCAGGTCCTTGATGGCTGTTCCCTCTGCAAGGAACTCTGGGTTAGATAGCACCTACAGGGCAGAAATAAACAACAGATAAAAGACAAAAGCAACAACCAGCCTTTAAATACCCCACTCAGATTGCGCTTACCTGCAAATCCAAGTTAGGCTTAGTATTGGCATCAAATATCCGACGAATGCTCTCTGCAGCACGAACCGGAACTGTGCTCTTCTCAGTGACAATTTTATAGCCATTGGAATTTTGTACAATCCGCCTGGCGCAAGCCTCGATGTACTTCAGATCAGCCGCTCGGCCTTTCCCCATCCCATAGGTCTTTGTTGGAGTGTTAACCTAATTACAAAGATGCAGAGGGGGAAGAAATGTTACAAGTCTCTTAAGAGGTACTGACATGGTGAAATTGTTAAAAATGGCAGACTTTTTCCCTCCCAGAGTTCAGCTTGCTTCTACCCTGGAATTATTCTATCTCCCATATCAAATGAACAGCTATTAGCTTTCTCAGTTACCCATTTTGTCTTCTAAAGACAGCTCACTGGCCTCTATTCAAATAGAATTTAAACAACAGCAATTCACAGCAACTCTGCAGGCTTTGGTGAAACTTAGTCCTTACTCTGGAAGCTGCAGTCATTTCTTCATGACTACAGCCAGCCACCTTTTGTTTCCTGTCCCACATCAGGAGTGCAAAAATTCACATAAGAATCTTGCAGCTAGCAAAGCAATTTCAGTTTAAACCCACTTTGCAGTGAAACTGAAGAGTGGAGCTGCTGGAAATTGCTATGCTGAAGTGCACAGAAAAGGCAACGCAAGGGAAAACATGGCATTTAAACTAAGACAGAGGGTCCTTTTCATTACAAGCTGAAAGAAGAGATGGCAACATGTAAAACACCACAGCCAAGGACAGGTGGCAATGTATGGACTATATTAGTGGCAGTCATCCAGCTAAAATAGCATTCGTTTTGGATTTAATGAACAGAGGAAAATACTGTCAGAAAGCAAGCTCTGTACCGTGGTGCCCTAACAAAGAGGAGCTCTCAAGAAAAGAGGACTTAAGTAACAAAAAACCTCAACAGGGGCCTACCAAGATGAATAACAAACAGTTATTTCAGATTCTGGATTAAGAACAGCCTTCTAAATTACAAAAGGTCACACTGTTTGATGGGATCCTCTTCCTAGTGGTGTCAACAGCTTAGAAATATTAAAGCCAGCCCCTCTTCCATTAACACATTTTTTAAAAGCTTCTAGAAATAAGTAATCTTTGTAACTCAATCAGTATATGACTTCACATCCCTACCTAGGAACTGTATCAGTATTGTTGAAGTCCCACAGATTTCTATAGTACACCCCAACGACAGATCTGCACTATATGCTGCTCCAAGACCCCATACATCTAACCAAGCTAAACATCAAGATCACCATTTTGATTTACAGCCTGTTCATTCGTCAGATGTTCTATGAGCTATAAGAAATAATTAAATACTGTTCCCACAGTACATAGAAAGACATGGAAAAAACTGTGACACAGTGACATGACATTGTTAACTGAGCCTAAACAAAAGAACAAAGGCCTCTTCCTAACATAAGAACAACATCATGATTTGATAAAAAACAAGAGAAGACAAACACACACAACCACCTTCTCCCCCTACACTTACAGAAATAAATACAAGATCAGCTTCTCTAATGGCATCATCAATACTGGTGGAAAAGAAGAGGTTTCTTCCTCGACAGGATTCTACTACTTCTTTTAACCCTGGCTGAAAAAAAAATAGTAGTTAAGATTAATGCAGATAGAACAACTGTAAACTGTATACCCAAACAAACAGCATATTTCAGATACATAAAGAATTTTTTCCCCTGTCAGTGTGGCACACTTTCTGTCTGACAGATGTAATTTAAGTAAAGCTTCTGTAGATTTACACAATGAAAAAAAATTAAAGCATTTTCTTATTCAAAACACCCAAAATATTGTCTTGGAACTTTCAGCCACACTGAACTGTTATTTGCAGAACCAGATGTTAGGCTCCAGTTATTCCCATGCTCTATTCTATTTCCATGAGCAACAAGTAAAGAAATACCTGTATAGTGATGTTAAGTAGATATAAGTAGTCTTACAATACTCCCTAAGCTGCAGACAAAACAGTCACAACTCTCCTTTTCCCCCAGCTACACGTTCCATGATCTCCCCAACATCAGATCAGAAACAGGTTCAGCACAAGAGGAAGAAAAAAAAAAAAAACAAACCACAAATAAGTCTTCCACCAAATCAGGAAGCCCAGATGCACTGAAAGAAAGGCAGAGTCAAACAGCAGATAAAGACCACTCCTTTTGACAACCATCCATCTTTGGACCACTTACAGCACCACACCTACTGCATGGAAGAATCCCAGACACAGTCTGATGAGATTCTTTCCAGAGACACACTGTGCTGTAACACTTCCCCTTCCCTTAACACCTCCACTCAAACAAGAGGAGCAGTAGACAATGTGTGCATGAACAATCCTCTGTATTAGGATGGTCTACAAAATTATTTAGCCACAACAGAGCTGTCATATGTAAAAGAAGTCTTTACTTTTTGTTTGAAAAATAAATCTATACACTATAACCTGGCAAACAAATTCCTAACTGAAGACACGCCTATCATGACATGAGATATTTAAGTGCCACGAAAGGCAAAGGTTTACTGAAGGGAGGAAGAGGAAAGTAAAGCAGAAGCTTTCTTATGCAAGACATTACTTACGCATTTTTTTGTCTTACTTTATACAAAATGCCTACTTACAAGTAAAACAAAGGTTAGCACAGACAGAATAATGTGTAACAACACATCAAGTGTTCCAACCATCATCCTATTGGGATGTAAACAGAAAGACAGCCCACTAGACAGTTTTTGACATGAAAAAGAAAAAAAAAGTTGAAAAAAAATACAAAAAGCCTCACTGTGCAATGACTCGATTTCACAACTGTCTGAACTAATTCTTGGCAGTTTTCATACATTCTTTGTAAGCAAAGGACACCATTCCAGGAAACAGATGTGAGGTTTTTTTGTTGGCTTTTGTTTGGTTTTAAAAAAAAAAAAAAAAGAACATGCCAAGACTAGCTCTATGTTGTAGTTTAACCCCAGCTGGCAAATAAGCACCTTGCAGCCACTCTCTCACTGGTGCCTCATTCCATGAGGGAGAGAATCAGAAGGGGTACAAGTGAGAAAACTCCTGGGTTGAGATAAAGACAGTTCAATAGGTAAAGTAAAAGCCACGCACACAGGCAAAGCAAGACAAGACACTCACTGCTGGCAGGCAGGTGTTCAGCCACCTCCAGGAAAGCTAGGCTCCATCACACGAAACCATTGCTGGGGAATGCCAACACCACCCCCCTGAACGCCCCCACTTCCTTCTTCCTACAGCTTTGTATGCTGGCCATGAAGTCACACAGTATGGGACACCCCTTCGGTCAGCTGGGGTCAGCTGTCCCAGCTCTGTCCCCTCCCAGCTTCTTGTGCACCCCTAGCCTGCTCGCTGGCAGGGTGAGGTGAGGAGCAGAAAAGGCCTTGACTCTGTGTAAGCACTGCTCAGCAACAGCTAAAACATCTGTGTTGCCAACATTATTTCCAGCACAAATCCAAAACATACCCCTATACTACCTACTGTGAAGAAAACTAACTCCACCCCAGCCCAAACCAGCACACTAACTCATTCAGTCTAAGTGTTCATAGAAAACAAGGTACTTGCTTTCATGATCTTTATGTCTCACTTGCTAATCTGAGCACTCATTGTACACATTTTCCTTTGAAAACTTATGACAATGGAGGTCTATTTATATTCACTTAAAGAGTCACCACATACAGGTTTGGTTTTAAGATAAAAAAAACTGCATTAGTGTTACAGCACAGATTCAAGAGGCTTCTTACACCAAAAGAATAACTATTAGTACCAGGCAACATGCCTTGTCTTTGCAAGTCAAGTGAAGATAAGTTTTCACTCCCACTAAGAACTCAAACCTGTAAAAACTGTCTCATGAAAGAGTGAAGGAAAGAAAAGATCTATTCTTCAAGGGTGAAAAAGAATGAAAAATAACAAGTGCTAGGAGAAGCAAAATAGAAAAACGCTTTCTATATCTTTAAGTTAAAGCAATTCTGTAGTGAAGGGGTGAAAGCATGACACATTTTTAAAAAAAAAAAATTTTATCTGGCCTAACCTTCCCAGGCCAGACTGGAGGTTTGCGGTACAAGTGAATCGGGAATATGACTGTCCCCATCCCACCACATGGTTAAGATGAGCAGCACAGACTGGATTTTGGCAGTATTCAGTACAAGCAGTAAAGCTTACCACTCAGTATGACACATTCATGTTGTGCTCTAACACAGCAGACACTAACTACAACTGAGTAAGAGTACGATTACAATTAAATTTGGTCCCCATTTTTAACACGATTCACTATATACACACACCATTACTTTTTTCCTTCCTATGCCCTTCATATGTAGTCCTGGAATACCTGCCCGCACCAAATATATTAAGTTATTCCAAAAATATGATTTAATGACCAGTAGTGACAGGTAGCTGCTCCAGAACAGTCTCTGCAAAGGACATCACTCTGCTATACTTATCATGCTCCAGAAGTGGGCCACAGGAAAGTGCCATGTGGTGGTGGTGAAAGAAATGCAGCGCTGGCTGGAAGAAGAGACAACAGTGAGACAAGTTTACCTCGTAGATTGGGAGAGTATCTGAATTCCAGGCATTGATTCTGGCCTCATTGACATCCACAACGGTAACTTTGATACTGGGACACATCTGTGCAATAACACTACATGTTGGCCCACCGACATAACCAGCACCAATGCAGCAAATCTTCTTAATTTCAAACATGATCGCTCTAGTAAGAGGAGAGAGGGAGAAGAGTAGAACCAGGAGTCGTCCGTGAAAATACCAGTCAACAATTCAAGGACATAAAGGAGAATTAACGATTTGAGATTTCATCGTGAGGCCACACGATTTCTTACCGCTGATGTCTCGAAAGGGGCGGCAGTGAGGCCGGCCCGGCAGGACAGGCTGCGGACCCGGCTGCGGGG